TAAAGTTTTTCCTAAACTAACCTCTACTAACTAGTAGTAGTGGCGAGTAAGGGTCAATCCCACGAGGAGCAGGAATTAAATTGCGACAATCTCGTATTAATTGAATTAAACTAGGAAAGCAATAAAAGATGGGGGGATTGGTTTTATAAAAATAAAAATAAAAATAAGAAAATAAAATAAAAATCTAATAAAATAAGAGAAGTCCAGTTTTCGGTTCAGTTATCACCCAATCTAAATCTACCGTTAATTAATTTTGACGCCTTCTTTAAATTGCTAATGAATTACCAACCCTAGCTAACAACAAGCTCTGTTAACCGAATTTTCCCTTACCGAATATTTCATCGAAATAGGCTCTTCGACTAAACCTAACTAGTGGACAACCTAGAATAAGCTCTCTAGATTTAATACACTAGCAGCATTAATTACTAGGAAAATAGATTGATCTAAGTAATGGACGCAAAAGCTCGGACCATTTAACTTATGTTCAATCTACCCTAGAGATGCACGACCTCTAGTTTACTACTAACGAAACGAGACAATAACAATTACGGATTAAAGTCCCGAATCTAGCGATAAAATTATGGATATTCAACCTAGCTGGCCAAACTAAATCAAACACTCATAATTCATAAACATTCGACACAGATAGCATGAATCAACTCATCAACAAAAATAAATACGGCATTTCAATTAACCAACGATAAATAAAAATCCTTCAATCCATAGACAAATCGATGTTAGGGTTCAAACATCCCCTAAAACTGGATAAAAATACTAGTCTAACATACTAATAAAAATAAATAAAAATATAAAAAAGAGAAATATAATCTCCCTCGTGTGCGAGTGCAGCTTCCCTCCGCGTGTGTAGCCTTCTTCACAGTCCGTGGTGAGTATTCTTGCTTTCTCTTATGCGGCCTTTTCTTTCTGTGAGTGTATATGTTCCGTTCGTAATGTTCCCAAATAATCCTTAGCTTCCAATATATGTTGTTGCGTGGATCTCTTCTGTTGGGAAAATAATTCCCAAAGACTCCTAGTATGTCACAACTCTCCAAAATACATTACTCCTTGGTTGCAAATTAATTCCAATTTCCGTGAGTGCCTTGCCAATTTTCAACCCCCAGCCTCCTTAATAATTTGAGTGAGGACTCAAACTAATTAAGTCCCCAATTAAATGAGACTGCTCTAGCCAATTCGTGATTTGGGCCATGGTCCAGTTTGCACCATAATTAGAGCGTTAATGGCTCGTGTGAACTCCCGCCCACGGCTCGTATTCACAAAGTACTTCAAGATACTGAAAATAACACATAAAATATTAAAGTAAATAAATCCATCTAAATAATAAATAGGTCGAGAAAATATAAACGTGCGAATAAATTAAGTGTATAAAAATACACTATTAAATATATAATACGTGCACAATTTTCGACCTATCAAACACCTACTCAATTCGTGGATAAAGGGGGCACTGATATCCCGGGATAAACCACACTGGTACAATATTGATGGGTCCCTCACTATCCTGCGACCACTCCAGGGAGCCTCATTCAAAGTATTCATGTCGAAGATTGAAGCTCAACTTTTTCTTCTGATCAAGTCGTTCTACGAGCCAAGAGTTTGTAAAATAGTAGAAACTATGAGGAGTACCGAAAAAAAAAAAAAAGAAGAATGTGACTTTCCAGGATGTAACGTTGGACGATAGGTCATCCAGGAACCAGGCCCCATCGTGAGCTGCCAAGTAGTGGTTCCCCTTTTGGAATTTCAAGTCGTAGCAACAAAATATAGCTCGAGAAGGAATTCGTCGAGCTAGATTCTCGAAGTTATTACAAAATCAACCATTATTCGGATGGAGTTGGGCGAAAATTGATTAATGGGAACACCATAAAAGTTGCTATGGGTTAACAGCTCGGGTTGGACGGGAAAGCAGAGACCAAAAAAGACTTGATCTATAAAGAATGTATAATGACTCTAAGGAGGTTGTGAGTAGACGTAGGTAGCTCGTGGAACTTGCAAATCCCAGTTGCTTGGAAGCTCGCAATAGATGCAGAAGTTGCCAACAACGAAACGAATTTAATTTGGCTACTCTAGCTACAGGACACACTAATTTTACAGAAAAAAGTACAAGTTGGGAATATAATCTACAATTTGTACAGGAAAATCGAGGACGTGGAAGGGTATACCTCGAGGAGGATAAGACTCATAACTGGGAGTTCGAGAAGAACCTGCCGGGCTTGATGATCCTTTAGCTCCCTTGAGCTCATCCCATTTAACCTCGCCTTCCGGATCATCAACTAAACCTTTAGATGGGCCAGGACGGTCGGCCAAAGCTAGCTCGTGGCTAGTTATTTCTATCAAAGACGAATCATGATGCTCGTCGACCAATTTATTTTTAGATTCGCTGGAGATCAACTGTGGCGAATCTACACATAGCTCGATAGAGAGCACATGTCGCGATTAAAAAACAAAAAATTGAGACTTAATCTACAGGATTGAGGTCTACATACACATGATCCAAACGTAAAACACGCATAAAGCCTCAAAAAACAAAAGCGATACAAGACAGGAAACTAGAAAACACAACAATAAAGAAAATCAATAACATGATGAACACAAAAAATTAAAACATGGATACAAAAGAGAGGATCGACTTATTCATCATTATTTTGAGCTGATAATAGAAAATCTGGCGAGGATTTATTGCTGGGAATGAAGAACAACGAACGCGGATGAAGATCGTTCGCCAGAAATCGTGCGAGAGCTGCTGCAGAGGTACAAGAGGGAGCGAAAATTCGTTAAGTTTGGAAAATGTTCTTAGGAAGAAGAAGACGCTATTTATACTAGACCTGGAAGAATTTAGGCCTTGGGATCACAAAAGGATCAAAGACCCAGATCACTTACAAAAATCGAGGACGTGCAGTACGAGGCGACAAAACGTCTCTTCGACTCTACAATTATAACAACTGACATGTCAGAATGACTTTTTGTATTTTGGCCACCAGCCCTACTCCATAGCTTCAGGTCTCATGGAGGGGGGAGGGGGAGGGATGGAGGGAGGGCTACTGATATATACACGACCTGACTGATGTTAAGTAATTTAGGTTGACCGGTCGAGAAAAGGGACATGTCGACCTATTGATACAAAAGGTAGAAAAGGAAGGGGAACAAGTCGACTAAAGTTATAAGGTGACGACCCAACACAGAGGGAAAGACCTTAGCTATGCGATATACTAATCTACAGAAAGCGACATGTAGAGGGCGCCTAGCCTATGGATCTTATCTACCGACATGCATGAAGAAGATCTGACAGATGACGACCTGTAGATACTTGGAGACGAGGGTCGAGGAAAAGACCTAATGAACACCAAGGGGAATCTAATTAGAATACTAATGATGATAAGAATGATATCAGGATAAGACTAAACTCGGGGCATAATCATTTTGGACAAGCTAACCAGGGCAGCTGGGCAGATGGGGCAATCCAATCTTGGGCACCAAGGTATTCCCCTGTAAAAGGGGTTGAGGTACCACTGTAAACCCTCTATACATCCTACATACTCACCATATATTCCATACAACCACCTCAGATTCAGGTTGCCGACACATCAATGTATACAACCTACAAAAACATTACATCACGCTAATTTTATATGTGTGAATAATATGTGTTGTATATGCCTACCAAACATCCTTAAGAGACCCATGAGATTACTGCAGAAGCCTGGCCCACTATCACCACAACATGTCACTCCTGAGCAAGGTCCACGAACATTGGTATATTCGTCCCAACATACATATGCCGATCCCATGATCGCCCCTGCCAACTATTGTCGATCGGCAGAGCTCGACGATCATCGATTGCCCTGCAGAGTATGAACACGCTCTGACATACTAAAACTAAAAAAACTGCTAAATATTGTGATACCACCACCGAAGATGGCTCATATAGCCGTCCAAACCTGTCATTTCTTGCACACCTACAAAAATACACTCCGTCCTTAAAAGATAAACTTTTTCATGGCTCCAGGCGTCTTCCTCTAAGCCATCAAGGTGGCTCATAATCATCATTACACCCTACCTTTTCCTTGTATAAAGGTGACCTCTCGACACCTTATTTTAGAAGTAGTTGAGCAAGCTAAACATAACAAAAGATACACTAGCATGCACAAAGCACGCTTTACGACCACCATTGTAACACCAAAAACTATTGCTAGTCACTTCTATCGGAGAACCTTTCTTCTCGTCGATCTCACAATAGATCGACAAAATCTCGTGTTACTTTATTTCTCCCATAAATACACCCGATATACTCACCTAATCGTCCCCTAATCCCTAAATTAAAGAACGTTGGTGATCACTCGTCAACAAATTGGCGCTAGGAGGGCCAGATCACTTATTTCAGTGAATCCACCTTATAACAGTGAGATGGCACTATGTCTCACTCTTCCAATCCTAACTCACTCCAACCTGAGGTTAACAATCCTTCTTATCTTGATGTTGTCGATCTAATTCGCAATTCTGCCTTTGTCAAATGTCTCACTGATCTGTTCTTTTAAATCATGCAAAATAACCCCCCTGAGAAAACCGATCCTCACAATTCTCATCAAAACCCCGTCCAAACAATCAATTTCAGGAGGTCCAGTCCCAAGAAAAGGCTGGGGCCCTTACATTGGAAAATAGAAGCAAAATCCTGAACACTTTGATCATTCCAAAGATCGTGAAGGAATGGGTGAAAACCAAGCCCATATGAGTTGCAACCTCCGGTCGGTATTTAACCGATTGGGTAATAAACAAGAAGATCTCTATCAACAAATTACCAAATAAATCCTTTGTAAAGAAGCTGAGGAGATTGCATCACTCAAAAAGAGGATAGCCGAACTTGAGGCTCAATAGACGCTAGAACTGCCAATCAGGTTAACTCTGACCCCCTTTCGTCTCATGAAGGTGCTTCTTCCGATCCTACTTCACCATTGTCTTCATAAATATTGACGGAGATCCTTCCTAGCATGATCAAGGTTCTGCAAATCAATTCCGTAATTGTTGATGTGGACTCCGATGGGAACGTCGTGGTTCTGAGCGGTGGTGGTGGTTGAGTGCTGCAGCGCTTGAGGCGTCTCCTGATCTTGCGGTGGTGTAGATTTTGTTTTGTTTTAATTTATTTAATTTGGTTTTAATATAGACGGGAATGGATATTCTTGCTCTTTTGAGACTGGAAGGATTTTTTTCTACACATTCTCTATCAGCAGGGATATTCTTTCTTTTTCCTTTTTTTTTTTTTATTTTTTAAACACAAAATAAAGAAAAATTAAGATGAGAGAAATTTTTATTTTTGTTATAAAACTAAAGAAAAAGAGAGAGAGTAGAGAAAATGTATTCTCTTAGGTGTGTTTTTCATTATAACTGAAACTCCTATTTATAGGAAACTCCTGATGGCACAATTTGTAATAATACAAATACATCGAGGATAAAATAGTCATTCACATACATTATTTTATTATTTCATAATACTCCCCCTTGAATGACTATTTTCTAAACATATTTTAACTGATTTGAACAAAGCCCAATCTGCACATCTTCAAGTATATCTTGTGGCCATCAGGTACCGTAGCTTCAGCACGTCAGGAAAACCCGGTAGGACAAAACCTGATCATCTTGAAATCATAACATTGTTTCTTCAGGAAAACCCAGTGGGACAAAACCTGAGCATTGTGGAAGCACAACATAGCTCCCCCTCAAATAGATCATCTTTAGTGGAATATCCATGTGCTGCCTCGTTAAAACCTTGTCAAGAAAACCCAGTGGGAAAAAACTTGATCGAAGGAAAAAGAGTACAGCTACTCCAGTATCTCTTATCATTGTGAAGAATCATATCATTTATCCAGTAGTCCTCATCATACCATGAATATGCGTCGTTAAAACCTTATTAGGGAAAACCCAGTGGGACAAAATCCTAATGAAGGAAAAAGAGTACATTATTCATGTGAATACGCCATCCATGTTGTCTCATTAAAAACCTTGCTGGGAAAACCCAATGGGACAAAACCTCAGCCAAGGAAAAAAGAGTACAACGCGTATTTCATATATTCACCATAATAATCTTTCCATAATTTGCATGAGTATATAAATTCTTTCGGATTTGTAGATACTGATGGTATTCACGACAATATGTCATATCATGCTTTGTGCAATTTTTATTCTTAAACTCATTCTCATCATCAATTGATTTCAATGGTCTTATTGCCAATAATTCCCAATATTCACATTTCAACTGATTTCATTTTCGACAATATTATTTATATAGCGCTATTCATTTGTTTATGTCGACACTTATTCATCTCCATTATTCTCCGTAGTATATTGAGATATCTCATTATCAATTGATTCCATCAATGGTTTATATATGCCTCATTTCATCACATATTTGGGGAATTTCAATTTGCACAATACCAACGCTTCCAGCGTATTATTCAACCATCATACCATTTCATATAATTCCCCATCATCAGTATCATATAGTTTATGACTTGCACACTTTCAGTGTGATGCATATATCATTTTCAAATTTCAATCATTGATTCTCCCCCTTATCTTAACAGATCCCTGATCTGTATTTTCAGTATTGAATTTCTTTAAGGGAGTTCATATAGTCTCCATTTTGTTCTCGTTTTCAACATATATTTAGAGGACTTTGAACTCATATCATTTGTAATGTGCACATTTTTCTTTCAAGAGTTCATCATATCATGTGAGTATATTACTAGCTTCATCACTTTCACATGACACTTATTTTCATTCTTTCATAATCATCTCGTGTCATTCTTTGATCAAACCATCTCGTAACTTCACGTTACGTGTCATATACACAATCTTTGATCAAATCATCTCGTAACTTCAGGTTACGTATCATATATCCATTATTTGATCAAATCAATTCGTAACTTCAGGTTACGCGTCATACCCATGTGGCTATCTAGTGGATCCATAATATCTAGTAGCACACATGGAGGGGTAGTGGGCCCATATATATCGTACCCCTTTCATACTCAAATTGATCAAATATCGATTCACAAATATTTAGCTAGTAATATATTTCACCAATCGAGAACAAGCATCTCATATCACTTATCATGCAAACCATCATCAATAATATCAGTAAACATTTTAAAATGATCACAATAATACGTTGTGATACGTTTATCACAAACATTTCACATCATCTTTCGGCGGCAATAAATGCACTTTAAGTGTAGGCTCTGACATAATATCTTTTAGCCACTGTTTAAATCCAGAATCGTGTCATGCCGTCTGACACACATACTTTTGAACACTGTTTAAGTCCAGAGTTGTATCTCATACGCATCATATTTTTCTATAAATTATCAGGTAATTCATTCAATTTTCCTTAACAAAGGTCCAAATTTACAAATGGATTTAGCACTCTCAAATATCCGTAAATATTATTCTTTTCTTCCGAAAAATATCATAAAAAAAATTTATCGATCTCGATTAGAAAGATTGAGGATGCTAATGAATAATGGTATTCCAAATGATGTTAGATGGTTGATCGAAGCACAAGTTCGATTGTCTGGTGAGTTTCCAAATTCATATAAATATATGCCAGGTATGGGTAAAAGTACTTATGCAAAGAAACGAAGAGCAAAAAGGTTAGGTGGATGCTTCAAATGCGCTCGATGGACTTGTGACACACGATGTATATCTGTGGGGTACGTGTCCAAAAATCGAGAAGATAAAATAACGTTTATAAAGGATGGATTGAGTAAGGAGTCTTTGGATCAAACGATTCAACAGATTCTTGAGACACATCCTAGTGGATACGTGCATCGTGAGCTTATGTCTTTATGGATTCAGTTCAAAAATGAAGAAGAACGGTATAGTCTCGAAAATATTATTTCAAAAGATCAAGTTTGTAAAACTAGTCTTGTTAGTACGAAAAATCATACTAATACAGTTTAGTATGTTGTACTGTAATTTTCTAGAAAAACTTATAGTTGCCGACAGATAAGATTTATTTAAAACCCAACACCTTATCTGTCAGTTGCAATTGTCAGAAGAAAACAGTACAATTATTTATTGCTTTGTAAAGCTTTCTATTTAAATAGCGAGTCGTTCATCATAATCATATGCCTCACAAAGTTTTGAAAAATTCAGTTTATCAATAAATAGATGGATGTTTCAGAGTCTTCGCAAGGTAATAATTTTCTTCAACCGATCAAAACCATATGTGTTCTTGGTGGTTCTAAACTGGTAAGTTTTTCTCAAACTATTGATATTGTAAGTCAGTTGGTCAAAGAGATGGGGAATCAAAAAATCAATTTGCTGTATGGAGGGACTAGCAATACTTTCTATGATAGTCTCTTAATGGCTGGACAATGTTTTGAGATAGAAGTGAAAAGTATCATACCTTTTCGTAGAGCTTCAACAAAGGTCGTCAAGGATTCCACAAGCATGATGTTAACTCATTCCATTCATGATTGTATGATGGATATGGTTAACAATAGCGATGCTTTTATCATTCTTCCAGGCGGGTATGGAACGCTAATGACAATGTTCACCATTGCTTTATGGGCAGAATTGAAACTTCATAACAAGCCCATAGGTCTATTTAACTTTAATAACTTCTTTCATGGTTTGCTTGGATTTTCAGACATAGGAGTATATCAAACCTTTATATCTCCTTCAATGAGAGAAGTATTCAAATCTGCTGACACGTCTGCTGAACTTATCAAAAAACTTCAAGAATGCATCACATTTCCAGATTCTGTGGAAACACAAGGGGTCAAGCGAAAAAGAGCTTTTGATCCTTTAGATCTCTCATTATGAACCCAGATATTATTCATGGGTGGCAGAGTTACGGAGTTTTATACTCTCGAGACGCACCCTTCTTTTATGGGTTCTATTATGTAATCTTTGCGTATTTTGTATTCATCGAGTATTTACTGCCTCTTTTCCATATTTCCACCATCTGAACATTTTGTACTTGTTTCTCAGTAATAATAATATCAATTTCGATTTTTCTCAGTGTATAGTAGTTCATGACTACAATCATTATCATTTGTGCTTCTTCCGGAGCACTTTATTGTAATATCTGTATGATCTCGTATCCCAATGTGATCTCGTCATCTGATATAGCCCCTTAGACTTATATAATATATTGAGAAATCATTTTTGTGTGATCACCCATAGCTGGTAGCTTTTGATACCACTTTCTCATTTTGTTCAATCATCCAATGGTAGCTTCTAGTACCATTTCATTACTTTGTTTAATCATAAAGTGGTAGCTTCCAGTACCACTATATCGGGATAACATTTAATCATTATGTCGTAACTTCTGACATCACATTATTTATGTGGTAACTTCTGCTACCATCTCATCAATATTCATATCTCTATAAATTTAGAGAATTTATCAACTGATATTTCATGATTAGGTTAGTCCATATAATGTCTGTTCACGACAAGGACTTTAATTAACTTTCACATGGCCAGATACAAAGTATTATTAATTTCACTCATCGGCTATCACTTACTTTGTACTGTCCGTCGCCGGCGGCCGAGCCGCACTGGCCGGCGCATGTATATATAGCCATTCATATTCTTTTATCTGTACTTTCTGTTGCACATGGCTCTGGCGATTCCACATCAGCGGCTATCATTAATACACTGATTGATCTATTCAGCCGTTCAATATTATCTGTTGTTGGTGGCTGCTTTGGCCATTTCATATGGTTGGTCATATTTCTTTATAATATTTTTGACCAATAATTGACCCGTTGGCTACCATTAAATAATATAACCTGCCGGCGGCAGAGCTGCACTGACCGGCCCATGTAGCCACACATATTTATTTTCATATCACAAGGGTAAATCCACGTATATCCACATGTTCCCGTATCGTAATAACCAATCCGTAAATATTCACCAATATGCCACAATATTTCCACAGCAACAAAAACTTAAATATTTTATGATAATAATATATCTTATTTTATTAAATCACATCAATATTGGTCTCTAAATGAAGCTTTCATTACCCCAAACATTATGATATTATCAAAAATTAATACCACTAAAGTGTGCTTTAAATGTGTGATAAACAATGATATTTTCATATAATACATCATGCATTATATAATGTTGTCTTCATCTAAAAATTATTAGCATGCATTTGGTGTGGTGGGTTTACCCTTCATAAATGAATGGACCCAGTTTGTTTTCATCTATCTTATGAAAATAAGTAAATAACCCTACACCCATAATTCTACTCACGCATCCTACACACATAATTTGACATTTAAATAATGCAATCATTAATTTACTCAATCTTGTTTATTTTATCCCTTAAATTAAAGAATCTAAGATTGTCAAATATGTGGCATCAATAAATAAACAAAACCAATAAGTGATGGAGCCAAACCGACATGTGGAACCCATCTCTTGAACACTAATAAATGCCTCACATGCACAAAAGTCCAAGTAAATTTATGAAGAAAATAAACTTAGAGTTTATCAATTTCTTTGACTCAAATATATTGTGGGTAGCATAATTGAGAATATACCTGCTGAAGGGGCGTAACTTGATGCAAGAGTTCCTACAGGAACACCTTACTAGGTTCCCCAGCAGCTGAAACAAGCAGATCACGATTGTATGTCAACCAAGTTAGCGCCCGGCATCACCCCGGGTCGGGCCGGGTCAGGTTGCTCCCTTTCACTCCACGAACGTCAGGCAATCCTAGAAAGCTTTACTAGGTAAGTGAAGCAGTTGAGCCCCGGCGAAAGAGCAACCGCGTTCGGCAGCCCCGAAGCCAAAGCTGGGTAATGAGCAGTTGCGCCGGACATGGCCACTGCTAGGACATCGGCCACCGTCTCCTGCTTTTCTAATTTATTTTTTAGTTTAATATGATTATTTATTGAATAAAAATGCGTTGATTTTGGTGGTGCTAATGGGGGACTCGGCTAATGATCATTATGGATTTTCATTCATTGCAGCACAAGTGCTTTTTCTAGCTTTCCAAAATCAAAAGCTGAACCTTTTTGATTTATGTAGGTTGTGATGAGGTACTATAATGAACATGAGAAAAATCGAAAGTTTCGGTATGAAGTTGAAGAACTTAATAATTTGTAATAATTCGATTTCTGATACAGAAGATCGTCTATAAGACGCAACTGTAGAGCATATTCTCGTCGTATTACATATCGAGCTCTAGAGGGCAGAGACTCGTGCTGATAACGTGTTATAAAACTAAAGAAAAAGAGAGAGAGTAGAGAAAATGTATTCTCTTAGGTGTGTTTTTCATTATAACTGAAACTCCTATTTATAGGAAACTCCTGATGGCACAATTTGTAATAATACAAATACATCGAGGATAAAATAGTCATTCACATACATTATTTTATTATTTCATAATAATTTTTGGTTTCTGGGTGGTTAACTATTAGTCTCGTTATCACTGTTTTGGTGGTTACATTCATTTTGAAATAACATGTAGCTTCTTGTTCTTATTTGCATTTGATGATTTTTTTTTTTCAAGGCAAGCAAACAAATTTATAACTCAAATTTGATGTACTAGTACAGCGGGTAATCAAATGATTACAGAACACTTGAGAAATCAAACAATGACATCTCAAGGGCCACGAAAAAGAGTAAACTCTTCCCATTAAAGACCAACAAGGTCAAAACAAAACAAACTAAACTATAAAACTAAAAAAAGTCAACATTACAGTCCACCAAAAGAGATACAACTTGCTCCAGCAGAGGAGCATATGAACCACATATAAGAGTATTTTTCTTTAAGGCTTTCACAACAACATTATTCAGATAGCATATGCAGGATCTCCACTTAAGTTCTTTGACAGCCAACAAAGTTGCCTCAGTTTCACAGTTAGTTTATGTTATGTGTCATTCTCAATGAATTTTACTGACTTTAGTTTGAACAGCAACACACTCCACCGCAATCTCTCCATCTTCAGACAAATGAGCACTGATGGCCAGCCAAGGCCTACCAGTAACTATGGAGCTTCATCTGAAGAGGGCTCTCTTCTTGAGTTCAGCTTCTGTGACTCCCATTCCAACCATTTTGATTTGGCTTATTCTACTAATTCCTTCTCATGAATCCAATCCCCTTTAGAAACTCATTTGTTTTTGGCTTTACACAGATTCCACATCAGATATGTAGATACAGTGAGCCCATCATGCAGATTATCTGGCATTCCTTTTGAGCAAGTTTCCATCCACCACCTCTGAAAATCCATTTGTTTGTGTTGCATTAAGTTTTAGTCTACCCCACTCAATCTACAATAGAGTTTTGACTTTGAACAAAAAAACAAAAGATGGTTTAAATCCTCTACTTCCTCACCACAAACCTTACAAGTAATATCTATCTCCAAACCCTTTCTATTCAAATTTCTATTAACCCCAATGATATCATATAAACATCTCCAGATGAAATATTTGACCTTAGGTTTAATGTGCAGATGCCAGGTTGAATTCCACATCTTCTTCCACCAGACCCTAGGCTCACTAGTGGAATCTTGAGCAATGAGTTTGCCTTTAGCCTCCAAAATGGTTTGATACACAGCCTTTGTTATAAACACTCCCTTCATACCCAGTGCCAAATCAGCCTATTGTTCTTTCTTTGACTGGATAGTGGAACTTTTAGAATAGAAGCAGCATCAAGAGGATCAAAAGTTTGAAGAGTTATATCTATATCCCACTCTCTTCCCCCCACTCTTAATCAGGTCACTCACCTTCTGCATCCTAGTTCTATCCCCCCCGAACAACATCTTGGATTGAAAGAAGTTTGTAATCGAAGGGGAGTCCCAAACATTGATAGATTTACCATCACCCACCTCAAACCTATCACCTAAACATAGGGAGAATCTGTTAGGATATGCTGTAAAAGCTTGGCTTTCAGATTCTAGCAATTCTATTTCGATCTGACAATTATGTTTTAGTCAAAGTACTTATGATTGCAGTTTATTTATTTATGCAATCATACTCATTTATCTTATATTGTAGATAGTATGGTTCGATGTGTCGAATAGAATTATCATATATCGGTTCCTTATAAGATAAACTATTTGTTCACAGTCTAGATAGACATTGAGACCCCTGTTGAAAAAAGACTGTAGTGTAGTCTTGATTCAGTTGATCTTTGACTGAAGTATTGCCATAGTACTTATGTTAAGTACTGAATAGGACCGCAGAAGGATAAGATTATAAGATTTACTAATTGCAATTATAATCTAGACCTTCAGTAATTGATGCATACTCTTAAGCCGTAAGGTAATATAAAACGGGCATATATATATACTATTATATATATATTTTGCTATTTTGCTAGGTTTATGTAGTGCCCCGTTCGTTTATAGAATATTTGAGATTTTTAATTAATATTATTGTCATTATTATTATTATTATTATTATTATTATTATTATTATTGTTATTATTATTTTATTTAAATGCCTAATTGTCTATTAAATGCTTAACGTGTATTATTGTTTAATTAATAATGAGTGAAATATAGTTTATTATAATAGTCAAAAATTTTATTTTAAATTATCGAGCGAAACGAGCCATTGTATTTTGGCTAAATAGACCGATAAATCGAGCCCGAGAACCCAGAATCGAGCCTTATTATTTTCAGCCCAAGAGCTAAATATTCTGGCCTTTTTGCCCAAGTATTATCGGCCCGTTAAAGCCGAGAGACCGGCCCGAAGACCCGCTCACCTCAGCCCAGCCGAACCGGATTGACCCGACCCGGTTTTCCTTCCCTTGTGTGCACGTGTGTGTTTGGAGGACAAGAGAGAAAAGGAAAACATAGGTATATATATATATATATATATATATATATATATAGGGTCACGCTCCGGTGAGAATGACCCTTAATGCGAGAAATAGGAATACATTCTAGCCATTAGATCGCATGATCTAATGGCTTATAAAAATACCAAAAATATACCTTCATTAAGGGTATTACGATAATTTCCTACACTACAATCAAACAAGTGGGTCCTACTCCACATTAATATATCTTTCACCTAATACTAACCACAACGGTCAAACACCCCACCTACCCACCCCACACTCTCTTTCTCTCTCCCTCTTCACACGCACAACACACACACATCACACACACAACACGCCGGCAGCCACCACCTCCCAGCAACCCCCTCCGCCTCCGACACTCTGCTTCTGCACACCTCCCGCCGCCTGCCGCCTGCTGCCAATTACCGACGTCACCCGCCTCAGCCGAGGCCGCCTCCTCCGCCGCCGATCTCGAGGACTGCTTCCTTCGGACGAGATCTGAAACCAAGCTCGACAACCTCTACTGTCCGCCACTTGCCGCCGTCCCGTCAATGTCAGTTCGATGTGAATTCGGCCGTGAAGTACCCCGTCGGCCCTTCTCCGACAACCACGCGCCGCCTGACCTCGCCAATGTAGGAGCAGATGGGCTCGGTTTTGTCTTCCCTGAGAGCTCGCAGACCTACACTTATCGCCGCCGTCTCGTTCGCGACATCCGTCCGCCGCCGCCGTCACCGTCGCGGCCCCATTCCGCCATCCGACCACCGTATTTGTCTTGGTCCACCGTCCGATCGCCGCCGCCGTCTCTTTACCGACGTCCGCCGCCGCTGACTCTCCATTAACGTCCTGTACCGCCGGCGACGTGGATCTGAAATTGCATAATTTGGCCCAATTTCAGAACTTGATTTGTTCGGTTCTTAGATCCCGAATTTCAGAAATTGGATAGTGAATTATTTGATTTAGTGTTACTGCAAGTTTTTGTAAATTTGATAATTCTAAAGGATTTATGTGCAATTTTAGATAACTTCATTATATTTCAATTTAGTTCAAGGAGCAAATGTGTAGTTTAATGAAAATTAAACAAATATATAATTAATATTATAGATAAAATGCACATTATTTAGTATGAGAAAATTAAAATATACAACTTTGATTGAAATTAAAACAACTAACAGAACCCAACAAACTATAAAAAATATTATTTTTGTATTATATATATATTATTTATTTTCAACAAATGATAATATATGATATTAAATAAAAAATATAATACTAAATATATTTTTGTAAAACAACATGTTGCACCTTATAAAACATGTTTTAAATCGCACTCTATATAACAAAATATTGCACTTTACAGAACAACACGTTGCACCTTATAAAACAACGTGTTTTAAATAACCGATCGAACTATATATTATCACACTTTATCTAGTAGAATATCGCACTTTATAAAACAACACGTTGCACCTTATAAAACAAAATGTTTTAAATAACCGATCGAACTATATAAAAAATATTATTTTTATTATATTTTATATATATATTATTATTATTTATTTTCATCAAACAACAATATAAACTATTAACTAAAAAATTTACTAATACGAAATATATTTTTTTTTTATAAAAAAATAATTACACTTCGAATACGCATTAGTATTAGGTTGATTGCACGTTAACGTCTTAAGAATTGCACTTTAACGTTAAACGGATTGCACATTAGCGACTGTCAGATTGCACTATATCGACCGAACCCGACTGACTTGGTTTTTTGTATTCGACTTTTATGTCGGATCGATTATGTGTTTACCTTTAAAATTTTAAGTTATTTCGGTTCGATGTTATTTTTAATTTTTTACTTTTAAGTAACCAAAATAATCGGACCGATCAAATCATATAAACAAATATTATTTTTTATATTTTTTTATAAAACTATTATTTTTTCAATTAAAATAAATAAAATGTTAGATAAAAATATTAATGTGCAATTTACATACCATTAACATGCAACCTAATGATCGAAAATGTGCAATTTACATAACACTAATGTACATGTGTACACACTATATTGTACAATTTATTTATTAGTGCTATGTAATTATTAATATTTTAATAATTTCATATAAAAGGATAATAGTATTTTAATTGGCATATGTACACCCCATAATGTGCAATTTATTAATCCATATGGTGCATTTATTAATCCATATAATGCATTTATTAAAGTTTTCAAAAATTACAAATTTAACCGGTGTACTTAATTGAAGTACATTTAACTTTTTAGATTTGCATACAAGTCCCCAAACCATATCAAATTTTCCAACAGAAATCCTCAACCCCTAAAAAATGCAGGCACTTCCAGCTGCCGTTTCCGGCCACCATCGCCGCCGCACAGGGACTGTCGTCGCCACCGAAGCATCCCCGCACCACGGTCGTCGCCGGAGACCCCTGCTACACCGCCATCGCAGATCTTGGCGCACATAACAACACGCATCTTCGCCCCCCGCTTGTCCGCCATTTTCCTGCCACCGCCGTCGCCGTTGATGCCCCCACCGACCACCGCTGTCATCTACACGAGCAACTTCAGACGCCGCTAAGCCCATTAAGGTCCATCCTCCCACCTCCACCATTGACGCGGCGACGAGCACCTTGACAGGATCCGCCACCTCCGCCGTTGTCGCGGCCCGTCAGATCTTACAGATTACCGCCGGGCGCCGGTGCCGAGGACCACACGGCGCGGGCGAGGACGACCACATAGCCACGTGCAGTGGTCGACGGCGGCGACATGACCGACGGTGGTGGGATGCGTCTTCAGTCGGGTGGCGTACTGCCGGCGGGGAGAGAGGTAGGAGCCATAGAAAGTGAAGGAGGGAGAAGAGAGAGGAGAGAGGAGAGAGAAGAGAGAGGAGAGGAGAGAGAAGAGAGAAACGGGGAGAAGAGAGAGAGGAGGGAGGGGAGAGGAGAGAAGAGAGAGAAATTGGATTGTATTTAATGAGTGGGGTCCACTGATTTTGTTTTTTGATAAAATTACAACACTGTCCTTTTACCTATTTATTTGATCATGATATAATACTCTATTTACGGTTTTGCCACTGCAGGTTTGACCTTTGAAATCAATTTTGACTTAATTATGTCCATTGATCGTACCGATCCGATGGTGTATAATCATTCTTATTTCTTTCACTATCTACCTTTCTCATATGATCCTAACCCTATATATATATATATATATATATATATATATATAGAGTTAGGATCACATGAGAATGATAGATAGTGAAAGAAATAAGAATGAATGTGAACCATTAAATTCTACATATCAATGGTTAGAATAAAGTCAAAATTTAGTTAATCATTAATGGCAATATGGTAATTCAACATACATATTGTGGTCAAATTTATACATTGACTACTCAATAGGGATAAAACAGACATTATACATACACTATGGGCCCACCACAAACCCTACTAACACACACACTCTCTCTCTCACTCTTTACACCAAAAACACACACACACGCACGCTGCACACACACTACACACACACCACACACACGCCACCAGCCCGCCGCCGCAGCACCACCTGCCGCCACATCCCTCGCCGGAGAATCCGCCGTAGACATCACAGCCTGAGAATCCACCGTCCGCCGGAAGAAGGTTGTGTCACGAAGTTGGCCGTCGTCGGCCTCAGCCCAAGCTTCACGCCGGTCGGTCGAGGTTTCTGGTTCGACGCACGTTGCCGCGCCTCCAGCCCTCACCGTCTGTCACCCGCACCTCCGCCGCCGGCAATGTCGCATCCGCCGGCCTCCTCAAGGGTGTGAAATTGATAATTGATGGATGAATCCCAAACAGCAAAAATTAATCTCATAACCCTCATCATATTCAGTTTATTGAGAGAATTAATTAATTTATGTGCAATTCCAATTTGTTAAACCTATGGGGTGAATTGAATTGTGAAATCAGACTTCAAAGTGAAACTGTGAAAGGCACGAGTTTGATTAAAGTAATTGGGGTGGGCTGTTGAGAATTTGATTAAATGTTGGGACTTGATTGCAATTATATAAACTTTTAATATATTACAATTTAAGTCATGATTTAAATGTGTAATTAATGAAAAATATAATTATTATTTTATTGTAGGGTTTCATTAATTATTATTTTTATTGTAGGGTAGATTGCAATTATATATACTTTCAATATATTACAATTCATGTCAAGGGTTACATGTGTAATTAATGAAAAATATAATTATTATTTTAATACAAACACAAAAATAATAATATTTTTTATATAATTCGGTTGGTTCGGTTATTTTGTTTATTTTAAAAAATAATGCCATCATCTAACTGAAATAACCATGATTTTAAAAGTAAAGACAGATAATCGAACTGAAATATAAATTTTTTAACCGATAATTTTAGTTTGTTCCGATTTTATCGTTATTGTTGGAGAAACAATCTGTTATTTATGTTAAAAATTATATTTAATAAGTTAATAATTTTATTTATTTTTTTTGGTTGAAAAAAATTTGAGTCCGGTCGGTTTCATTCACTATTTGTACGATCTAATAGTCATGATAAAGTACATCGTGTTATTTTTATATTTTATAAGGTGCAATGTGTTGTTTTATAAAGTGCAACGTGTTGATATATAAAGTGCACTACTGTAATTTTGGTACGTTATCGTGCTTGTGTTTTTTGAGGATAATGTTTGTGTTTTTTGTCGATAGATGATGATATGATAAATGTTAAAATTAAATTTATGGTGTGTAGTATTTTTGGCGGTGTCTATTGACGTTAATTGTGGAGTGCAGTGATAAAGTGTAGTTTGTTTTATACAGTGCAATATTTTGTTTTATAAAGTGCAACGTGTAGTTTTATAAATTGCAACGTGTTGTTTTATAAAGTGCACTATTTTATACTTCCATGTAAATTATGTGTGTTTGAAAGTAATTTTAATATATATATTGTAAATCGATTTAACCTAAATAATTAAAATGTTTTATTACCAACTTGTTGCACTACAAAGTAGTAATTATTGTAAACCTATTTTAGCAATATCCATTATCCATCACATATGACTAATGACTCTTTCTTAATTATCCCAATTAATGTAAATAATATGTTTATGTGTAAGCAACTACGTTGATGGCCAAGGTCAAATCACATAGGCCACGTACTTATTATTATTCCTAACGTTAACAGATTAGGATTTGACATTAATTTATTTAGTTCAAGTGGTCAAGTATAAAATAAAGTTCCCTTTGCTTTTGTTTTTCCACTTTTTTTTTCTTTTTTCTCTATGGAGGGGACTAAAAGTTGGACGACAATCTCACACGCACTAATGTGTATATTGTTTAACACAAACATAACAATATATTTTTTTATATTCGAGCGATGTCATTGTCACGAAATACACTATTATGCTAATATGCTAATGTGCATTATCGAATGAATTAATGTGAATTTAGTCTAGCACTATTGTGCATTCGATATAACATTATTTTTCGTATGCTATTTTTTATATGCGTATCCACACATACGATTACTTATCAATAGTCCAAATTTATGTACAATTAGAAATAACTGAAATTTTAATATTTGTAAAAATTAACACCAACATAACAACGTATTTTTTTATGTTCACACGTCATTATCCGAAATACGATATATATTATGCTAATGTGTATTCTCGAATGAATTAGTGTGCAATAAGTCTAATACTAATATGCATTTGGCAACGTTATTTTTCATATCATATCCATACACATATTGTACAATTTTCTTACCAATAGCCTGTATTTTATTTACCAGTATTTTAAATTTTGATAGTAAAAAATTTATTTGTGAAAAAAAAAAACATAAGGATTGTAATTCACGATTTAAATTTTTAGATTGATAATGAAAAAAATAACTTGTTAAAGAAAACATAATGAAAAAAAAGTGCAACCAAAGCTTCTCAGCAAAACCAACTACACAAATCGAGCACCAAACTTGAAAAGAAAAGAAATTGGGAATAAAATTAAACATTGAAAACAAATTGGCATTCAAAATAGAAAAGCGAGGCAGCTGGTGGAGTGCTCCCTGTATATAATCCTTTTCACTGCCTACGACACCCAACCGCCGGAGCTTCTGCCGTCGATTCGTCCTGTATATCATCCTTTTCACCGCCTTCACCTCTGTGAACCCAAAAATTTAGGTTTAAATCGACGAATTTGGGGTTTTTTTGGTGATTTGATTGTATCTGATTTTGACGGTGAGGAGACGAGACATCCAGGGATGTTTTGGGGGGACCAGGCGGCAGAGAGAGGTTGTTGTCGGAGAGTTTGAGGCGAATGAGGCTGCCTGGGGATGGGAGCTCGGGCGGGATCTCACAGGTGAAGCAACGAGCTTCATGTATTTTGGTGAGCGGGAGATATTGTCGGTGATGGCGGAGATCGAGGAGGATGAGTTGGTCGAAGGTGGAGATCGAACCGAGGTAGGAGAGGGAGAGAGGATGACGGCGGTCGGAGCTACTGACACCAGACCAGCGCTTCGCAGGCGGCGGGGCTGCGGTAGAGGAGGAGAAGACGGTGTGTCGGGGGTGGGTTGGGGTGGGGCTGACCTGGTGGTGTGTTGGTGTGTGATGGGACCCGCATATAATTAGGTGGTGGGTTTTGTGGATCTGGTGGGGTCTGTAGTTGAAAGAAAATGTCAAATACACCCTTAATTTGAGTATAATTTAGTTTTTTTTGTGCTGTTGGATGATGAAATTTAGTGGCTGAGATTTATTCTTATTTCTTTCAATAAGCACCATTCTCACCGGAGCGTGACCCTATATATATATATATATATATATATAGAGAGAGAGAGAGAGAGAGAGAGAGTTAGGATCATATGAGAATGGTTCTCAGTGAAAGAAATAAGAATAAGTGTGGACCATGGGATTAACCATATCAATGGTTATAATGAAGTCAAACAATGGTCAATAATTAATGGCAATTTGGTAATTATATGATCATTTGTGGTCAAATATGTGTATTTGACCAATAATTAAGGATAAGTTGGTCAATACACATATATAACGTGGGACCCACTCACCAAACATCTTCACCCACATTTTCTCTTTCTTCAACTCCTCTTTCTCCTTCATGCTCACGCTGAACACGCACACACACACACACTACACACATGCACGCAATGTTCCGGCAGTCCATTTCACGCCCAAATTCCGGCCACCGGACCTTCGCCGCGCAGCCGCCTTCCGCTTGTACCTGCATATCCTCCGCCGCCCGCTACAACACTCCGCCGCCATCTCTCACCACCTCACTGTCTTTCTACCTTCACATTACCAGCCCTCGCCAGACCACCCGAAACACACGTCGACCTCCGTCGTATCGCCGCCAGACCACCATGAGCACCGTCCGCCGTTCGCCGTGACTAGCCACGCTCAAAGTCTCAACCCGTCGCCGCCATCAGCCGAACATCGCCGATTACTCCGACGCGGCCCCCTTCCTTCGCACCTGTCGCGATTTGTTGATCTTCCGCATCTATCACGGTGGTCGGCGGCGGTGGAGAGGACTATGCGTGTGTGCGTGTGTGTGTGTTCAGTGCGTGTGTGTGCGTGTTCAGTGACAATAAATCAGATCTGGAATTGCAGTGACATTGATAATTAGATCTAGAATGAAGGGGATTTAATTTTGTGAATTTGATAAGTCCTAGGACTTTATTGCAATTTTTGATATTTTGATATATTCCAATTTAGTTCATGTGTCAAATTTATAATTAACTAAACTGTAACTAATATTTTAATATTATTTATTTAATATTTGAAAATAGATAATACATTGCATAAGAATATAAAAAAAAATAATATTTTTAATACAATTTGGACGTTCCGTTATTTCGCTTATGTAATTAAAAAAAAAAATCTATCGTCGAAACGAGATAATCGAGTCTTTCTTAAAGTAATGTAAAACAATCGAACCGAAATTTAAAATTTTGAACCGAAAAAATTAGTTCGTGCGGTTTCGTTATATATTGTAATATAATAGTCACTAAGGTGCAATTCATACAACCATACTGCGCACCCATTATACATAAAAAATAATAATAATAATAAAAATAATGTTTTTCATATTATTCAATAACCATAATAATGTTCATTCACAATATATAAATAATAATAATAATAATAATAATAATAATAATAATAACTTTTGATAATAATAAAAAATGTCAATATTGTGCAATCTGATGGTCATCAGAGTGCAATATGTCTAACACTTCTGTGCACTTATAGAGCAAACATTTTTATGACCTGTTTCAAACAAAATAAAACCATACCTTAATATTCGATTGACCGAGGTACCTTAAATAATTAAAATAATTTATTATTTATATTATGAGAATTATGTTAAGTATTTTAATATATATAGCTAATATTATATATATTTATTGTTGAAATACATAACATATTTATTATTTATATATCTAATGCAAAACAATCAAACCGAAATTTAGTTCGTGCGGTTTCGTTATATATTGTGCAATATAATAGTCACTAAGGTGCAATTCATACCACCATACGGTGCATCCATTATACATAAAAAATTAAAATAATAAAAATAATATTTTTCATATTATTCAATAACCATAATAATGTTCTTCGATAATAATGAAAAAAAATGTCAGTATTGTCCAATCTAAAGGTTATCAGAGTGCATTCTGTCTAACACTTCTGTGCACTTATAGCGCAAACATTTTTATGACTTGTTTCAAACAAAATAAAACCCAACCTTAATATTGATTACCCAAGGTACCTTAAATAATTAAAATAATTTATTATTTATATTATAAGAAATATGTTAAGTATTTTAATATACATATATAGCTAATATTATATATATTTTGAAAATACATAACATATAAAATACCATCGTCGTTATTGTGCATTCCAACACGTATTAATGTGCATTTATTTTAACTTTTATTTATGCATTTTGTAGAATTATATTTTGTTATGTTCATTTTCAATTCTACAAACCTCTAATAATGTATATTTCCAGTATACTAAGTAATCTCATTAATTTATTATTTATATTAAAATTATATTTAGTATGTGAATGTTATTTATTTATTTATTTTTATATTATTTTTTGGCAGAAACAATTTAATATACAAAATACCGATCTCGATAAAGTGCAAGCACACATGCATTAATGTGCATCTAGTATAACATTATTGTGCAGGCTAGTAAGCAGATATTTTTCAAGTGCATTTCAATTTTGGATAAATATATACATTATTATATTATATTATATANTTTTTTTTTACCTGTTTTTTGTAAATAAAGACAATCGTAATAAATCGAAAGCATTAATTTGCATTCCCGTACGCATTAATGTGCACTAAGTCGAACACTATTATGTTTTTTTTTATATTTAGTATTTTTATATTTTTTATTTAATATTTTTAAACACATATTATATATATGTCTAAAAACATATATAAAACTAATATTTTTATATATTTTCAGAAATTACAAATTTGGCCCAATGTACTCAATTGTAATAAAACCAAAATTTTATAAATTACAATTAAGCACTTCAATCATATCTAATTCTCAAAATAAAGCCCCACAATTGAAGTTGTTGCAACACCTCTCTCTGGACGGCGGCGGCGGCGGCGGCGGCGGCGGATGTCGGGAATGAGACGGCTACGGCAGTTGGACGGTGGGACGAGACAGCGGCGGTGGTCAGATGGCGGATCTGGGCGGCAGCGGCTGTCGGATGTCGCGAACGGGACGGAGGCGATAAATGGACGTCTGCGATTCTCAGGCGGATGAAACGGAGCCCATCTGCTCCTAAATTAGCGAGGTCAGCGGCGGGCGGTGGTGGGAGAAGTCCCGACGAGGTACTTAACGGCTGAATTCATGTCCATCTTACATCGACGGGACGGCGGCAAAGTGGCGGACCGAAGATGTTGTTGACCTTGGTTTTCCGATCTCAGGCAGAGGCGGCCGTCGTCGAGCTCGGCGGCGGAGGAGGCTGTTTCGGCTGATGAGAGTGCTGCGGGTAACCGGCGGTTGTCGNGGCGGCCATCGTCGAGCTCGGCGGCGGAGGAGGCTGTTTCGGCTGAGGCGAGTGCTGCGGGTAACCGGCAGCTGTCAACAGGCGGCGGGCGACGTGCTGTTGTGGAGTGTCGGCGGCGGAGTGTGGCGGCGCAAGAGGCGGGCGGCTGCCGGCGGGGCGCCGCCGTGTGTGTTTGTCTGTGATGTGTTGTTGTGTGTCGAGTGTGTTGTTTGTGCGTGTAATTAGGAGAGAGAGGGTGGGGTGGAATAGGGTAGGTGGTTTGACGGGTAGGTGGGTATTAGGTAGCAGGTTTATTAATTGTAGTAGAGTCCACATGTTTAAGTATTGTGTAAAAATTACCATCATATCCTTAATGAATGTGTATTTTTGGTTTATAATGACTTTTTTATAAGCCGTTGGATCATGCGATCTAATGGCTACGATGTATTCTTATTTCTTTCACTGAGCACCATTCTCACTGGAGCGTGACCCTATATATATATATATATATATATCTGTTACCCTCTCTTTTGCTGAATCTCTCGATCGAACGCCGCAACCATATATCTCCCCTCCCTCTCCAATCTGATTTTTCACACCCTCACGTCGTCTCTCTCACAAATCCCGTCACCCTCGTTTGTTTTTCTTTCTCTCTCGCCGCAAGAAAGTCCCTCTCTCTCACATCACTCTTTCTTTCAATCGCACGCCAGGAGCAGAGAAACTTCCCGTCGTCGCCATCTCCATCATCGTTTTCCTCTCTCCTCATCGTGCAACCATCGGCGAAATCTGTGCAGGCCTGACGAGCCCGCAACTCCGACCACCGTCGTTCCTCCGCGCGCCTACATCTCCGGCAAGCTCTCTACTTCGCGAACCAGTCCGGCAAGCTCCTCCTCGCCGCGAACCAGAGCAAACGCCGCCGTGCCGCGACACCACCGCAGAAGCCCTCCGCGTCGTGATGCCACCCAGAAGCCCTGCCACGCCGTGAGCAACCCTTCGTGGTCTCTGTTCGCGAATTCCGGCGAGTTCTCCCCTCCGCACAGCACCTCCGTCGCGAAGGTCCCGTGCACCAGCAGCCGGCGACCACCTTCACGGCGATCCCTGCCACCGCGAGCAGGCCCTGTTCTCCGGGGAGCGACCACCGCCTGCAACTCTACCGCGACCAGTCCTCCCAGCGCCGCTGCTCCTCAGCCGTGACCCTCCGCAATGACCAACAAGCTCCGACGAGTCTTCCTCGACCATCACAGCAATCCAGCAGGCCGAGAAGAGCTGCACAACCCCTTTCACGAGTCGTTGTCGAGCCTGTTGCTGCCGTGAGTGCTAGCCACCGTGAGTTTGCCGTCGTCCTTCGTTCGACCGTCACTACGTGCCGTGTTACCGAGAACGGTATCTAGTCGATCCCGTCTCATTTAAATCGTATATATATTAGTTGCTTATCATGATTGAATGATGTGATGTGCTCTTTGCGATTTAATATACGCGACGTTATTTTATATGAAGTCGTGATTTAATATGTGTTTGTGCTTTTGGGGATATCTTCGATTATAAGAAATCGAAAAAGACCTCGAAAGTCATGTAAGTCAATGGATATTGGAACGATGTCGAGTCCTTGGTCTTACAAGAAGGCCTCGGACGAGAAATTTCATGCTATGAGTTAATTGCTAAGTTGTCGAGCATATATGACGCTGTTTTGGTGTTTGAATTTTTAAACATCGCACACTGCTCGGAATGACTTGAAATTTTGAGGGATATGTTATCTGCTCATTGCCAGCCGTGCGTAAAAATTTCGTAATTTTTAGAGGCCTGTAGCTAATTTTAAAAATTAAAGTGAATTCTGATCAGAATATTGTTTAATGCTTAGTAAATTGGTTTGTGATTCAAATGAGCGGAAATTTTAGTATGTTGTGCTTCTGGTGTGTTTGTGTGCTGTGTTATATTCTTAGAATTTTTGGGCTGAATTTGATATGGTTAATGATTTGTTTTCTATTTCTGCTGAAAGTTGTATCAATTATTAAAAATCGGTTCTTCATTGAAAAATTCTGAAACTTGACTGAGATGCTTATTTTATGTGTATACTCATGCTGTTAAAAGATTGAAATTTTTGGAGTCCAATTTATTTCAATTTTGATTTAAATTCTATAACTGCTGAATATTGTCGGAATTTTAAAAATTAGCACAGTTAATGTCCAGGACTGATATTTTTACATGCTGTCTATGTCCTGTTGTAGCTTGTGAGTTTAAATTTTCAAGTCCTGGTTCATTCATTAGGTTCAGATATAAATTCATGTGCGTTTTTGCTGAATTCTTGTAGGGATTTTATAAATTTATGTGCTTTGAGTTTGAAGCTGAAATTTTGTGGTTTTACTAATTTCTGGGAGATGTAATTTTGAAAAACGTTTCAGAGTTTAAGTCGTAGGGTAACCTGACCAACTATTTTCATGTGATTAATGATTATTATTTTCAAAATATGATTTTTGAAATGAAAGTTGGGAATCGACTTGCTTTTCGTTTTGATGTGAGTTTGACTTGGTCAATCCTTGGATGGATTTATATGAACTCCCTTATGTGGTTTGGTCGAGTTTAGTGCCGAGTCTTAGTGTTCCAACATCCACAGGACTTCACGAACTACTTAGTCGAAACAAGTTCGACTAGGTCTATTTTGTGTTTTCCTTTTTAAGTCAAGATATTTATTGTAGGACCTTGACTTAATGTAGGTGTTTGAGGAGTCAAGCCTCGACCCACGTCTTTTCTGATAATTGTTATCGTCCATCCGAATTTCCAGGTGGGTTGTCATTCTAAAATTATCTGTGCAATGTGTGTTTAAATATGTGTTTCCGTTTTGGCGTGATCTATGTATGAACGTGAATATGTAGCCTATCGATGTGAGCTATTATGATGGTCATCGTTACGGTTGTCCCCGTCGATGTAATACGGTTGCCTTATGAGGCAAGTCTCCGTAAAGACCTATTATGAAAGGTCGTGTCCTTGCGTGGCACGTACTCTCGCCGTTAGGGTAATGAATCCCCTTTCCGCGACTATTATGAAAGATGTGCACAGGAGTATTTATGTTGTGATGGAGATGTGACATATGTGTATTGTTTGTGTTCATGCTGCGATCATGCCAATTTGACATATTATAAAATGTGCATTGCATAGTGTGAGTACGATGGTTAACTGTACTCACTCCCACCTGCTCGTAACTGATGCAGGTTAAGCAGTGGCGCGTGACGAGACAAGACGGGTGGTGGTCATTGCTTATTATGCTTATTTATTATGCTTATTAAATTGCTTCCGCTTATTTATGAACTATGTTGGTATTGAACTTGTTTGGATTGGATTTTGAACTTGTTCATTTTGGAAAACTTTCGGATTTGGTTTACGATGAAAAACCCTACTTGATATATGATTGAGTATGATCTGATGTTAAATTTATCGATTTGTGGTTAATGAAAACCGTTGAAAAATCGGGTAATGAATCCCCGTAGTTCAGTTATGACTTGAACTGTATTTATGAAAGGAATGAGTAACGTCAAAAATTTATGATTCAAAAAATAAGTTTCGAAAATTTTTATCTTGATTTTTGGAAAATGCCATGGATTTTCTTTAAAAATCGATTGGGGCGTTACAGTTTACATACTAGATATTTTGCTATTTTGCTAGGTTTACATACTAGATATTTTGGTAAATGATGGTGTTTATATGATGTACTGTTATAGATTATTTACGGTCACTATGTCTCAGTGCTGAGTCGATGACTTCCACGAAATGAGCTCAGGAAGGAATATTATGTCAAGCCCTACATGCGGATGAGTATCCGACATAATGGTTAAGGATCTGAGTGGTACTAATTTCGGAAATGAATAAGAAGTTGATTAATTACAGTGTCAGTCATATAATTAATCAACGGACGTTATATCTTAAACATACGGATGGTAAATTGATCAATTAGATTAATGTTTATTAATCAAATGGAGGTTCGAATTTATTGAATAAATTGGAGCTAAATGGGGAGAGCAACAATATTACTCTAGTGTAATGTTTTATTATTTAATTTAATTAAGAGATAGGAATTAATTATTCTCTATTTATTTAATTCCCTAAGAAGAAGAATATTCGTTCTAGAATATTATCAATGGTTAGAAGACTTGAGAGTCTTCTAGAAGGGGTAATTAGGGTTAGAAGGAATAAGACTTCTAGAAGGGAAAGGATATGGAGGATGATTAATTCCTAACCCTCGTTGAATAAGTCTCATATTTAGCACCTCCTTAAGGTCCCTAATGTAGCCTATAAATACACCATGTCCCAACCTCTTCCCCTAGTAATTGTGAGGCTCGATTTTAAGGTTCCTATTAGGAAGAGGAAAACCATGTACTTCATATATTTGAGAGTAAGGGAGTTTCGATTAATCGCCCCCAAGATTATTTGAAGTAGGTGTGAAGGTCATACATTAGAAGGCTTTAAGGTACAATATCTATTGAGCCTTTATTTGTAAAATTTCCGGTGACCACCCGATTCACCCGGCAGCCTTGGAGGTGCCCGACGGCGACCACCCTCTCTCAGCCCACCCCTAGCTGTGTCCAGGCGTGTCCCAGACCGCGCAGCCCGTGCAGAGCCTCGCCGCAGCCCCACGTTCCCGTCGGACCTTGCCCAGCCACGTGCGATCGCGTCCTAGCTCGCCACCATACGCAGACGGTGTCCAAATGCGCTGTCGCGCGACATTCCGCGCACCGCATGCGCAGAGGACCTCCGTCCGCGCGATCCGCGAAGCAGCCTGACGACCCGCGTGCCTCAGACGCGACCCGAGCAGGATCCGCAAAGACTTCGTGCTTTCTGCGTGCAGCCCGACAACCTGCGATCAAGTTAGTGCGTACGCGTGAGAGCCACCCGCGAGCGTGCCCAGTAGCCTGCGTTCGTGCGAGCCTCGACCCTGCGCGCGTGATCTCGAGCCCGACGAGTCAACCCTCTACAATAGCAATCAGATCAGGCCCGAACTAGTCTAGCCCAGCCCAGACCCGTCCAGATCGATTCGGTCCGATCCAGAGGTTCGGTTCGCACCCAAGGCGGTTCCCGAGTTGTCCGAACAGTCCGACTAACCTACCAAAGGTCTGAGACGACCCGACGAGCAACCC